GCCCCTTAACACCTCTCTCGCCTTGCTTAGAGCAGGCCCCAGTAGGTCTCAGCGTCTAACTAGACTTTAATAACATATTTTCACTGTATTTGTCTTTAAGACAAGTTGTTTTGTTTCTCATGTTCAGTGATCAAAGGAGTTTTCTTAAATTTTTAAAATTATTAAAATAGATTAACTGTAGAAATATGGAGAATATTGTAACAAACACCCACACACTTACCACCCAACTTTGTCAAATTCTAAGTATTTTTTCTATATTCACTGCAGATTGTTTTTTTTTAAAGAAGCCTACTTTGCAGATGTGTTTGAAACCACCTGATACTACCCCAGAGATAACTTTGCTACTAAATTCGGGATTCATCATCCTCCACACCTGTCTCTTTAGATCTCAGGTGTCATGGGTTGGGTTAATCCCACACCCTCGGTTTATGGCTCATTACGCCCCACAGACACCACATGTTTTAAATTTACTTGAATCCCTATATCCCCACATCCCACTATCTTTCAGTGCCCCCTACTGGCAACATTCTAGTATGTTCATATATATCTCACCTAGCTTTATTGAAGTATAATTGACAGGCCAGGTGTGGTGGCTCACGCCTGTAATCCTGGGAGACCGAGGCAGGAGGATTGCTTGAACTCAGGAGTTGAGGTCAGCTGAGCAAGAGCGAGACCCCTGTCTCTACTATAAATAGAAAAAATTAGCTGGGTGTGGTGGCACGCACCTGTAGTCCCAGCTACTCAGGAAGTGAAGGCAGGAAGATCGCTTGAGCCCAGGAGTTTGAGGTTGCTGTGAGCTATGATGACGTCACTGCACTCCAGCCCGGGCAACAGAGCGAGACTGTCTCAAATAAATAAATAGAAGAAAATGATTATCATTGTTTCCCCGTGCATGTATTTCCTAATTGACATACCCATTGTTGTGTTGAACACCTCAGGCTATTACTGCTTTTCTCACTCAACACTACAATTTTAAGATGCACCCACACTGCTCCAGGCACATTGAGTTCATGGCTTCTGACAGTTGCCTAGGACACCCCTGGAGAGCATTTCTTCATAGTTTACTGTGTCTTCCAAATGAGGACGCTCAGGCTACTTCCAACCCTCCCGGCCCCCACTACCACTGTAAAGAATGCTGCACTGAGCCCCCTCATGTCCTGCATGGTGCCTTGAAGACATGTATGTCTCTCTCTCAACAGAACTGCTAGGTCATGGATAGGTATGTGCTAGGTTGTTTTCCTGGGGTGAGATGATATCTTGTAGTTTTGATTTGCATTTCTCTGATGACTGATGATGTTGAGCCTTTTTTCATATCCCTGTTGGCCATTTGTGTGTCTTCTTTTGAGAAATGTCTATTCAGATCCTTTGCCCGTTTTTTAATTGGATCATTTGATTTTTTTCCTGTTGTCTCTTCACTTTGTTGATTGTTTCCGTTGCTGTGCAGAATCTCTTTAGCTTGATGTGATCCCATCTGTCCAATTTTCCTTTGGTTGCCTGTGCCTGGGGGTATTGCCCAGACCAATGTCCTGAAGCGTTTCCCCAATGTTTTCTTTTAGCAGTTTCATGTCTTAGATTTAAGTCTTTAATCCATTTTGATTTGATTTTTGTCTATGGTAAGAGATAAACATCTAGTTTCATTCTTCTGATATGGATATCCAGTTTTCCCAGCACCATTTATCGAAGAGACTGTCCTTTCCCTACCTTGTGTTCTTGGCACCTTTGTCAAAGGTAAGTTCACTATAGACGTGTAGATTTATTTCTGGGTTCTCTGTTCCATTGGTCTGTGTCTGTTTCTATGTCAGTGCCATGCAGTTTTGGTCACTTGTCAAATAGGGGTGATAATAACACATTGCTCATCAAACTGCCGGAAGGCCCGAGCTAATGCAGGTGAGGTGCTCAGCACGGCACTTGTACGGCCTGCAGCTATACCCTAAGGAGGAATGGGGTGGGGAGTCCTGTGCTCGACTGAAATGAGGGAGACATGGGAAACAGCCTTGTGTGGTCTCCTGCAAGGGGGAAGTGGGAACAAGACTGCTCATCCCCCCGAGTGTCGGGAGGCATCGCAGGGCACTCTGTCAAGGTTTGGGTCAGACCACGGTTAAGTCTTTCCTATGTGGCTTTTGTAGATGTGTGCGAGGTTGTTGGGGTGCCATGGCAGAACTGTTTCCCACAGTATCACCCCGCAGGTCGTTTGCCAATGGCAAAAAGGGAAAACAGCTTTCTGGAGGAGACAGCTGTTGGCCACCACCATTCCCAAGGATTAGACTTGGCTGTTCCTAACAGAGACAACCTGGCATCAGCAATATGGACAGGCACTAGAAGGATTCTTGCAAAAAATAGTTAACTTGCATCTCATCAAGCTTTAGAGCTAACTTCCAGGCTATAAGAACTACAAGTGGTGGAGGAAGCTAAATGACACCAGGAGGAAATGACAGGGCAAATCGGAGTAGGATACGTTCTGTAAGACAGCTCATCTGGCCTCTTAAAAATTCCATCCTTCATGGCCAGGGTGTGTGTGTGTGGAGAGCGAGCTATTATAGAATTAAAAAAATACTAGACCCCTAATAATCATGCAGAATGTGAACTTTGAATATATCCTAGTACAAAAAAGAAACTAGCTAAACAACAGTATAAAATACTTTTGGGTACAAACTGGGAAATTCAAACAGACTGGATATGCGATATTAGGGAATTATTGTTAGTTTTTCTTAAGAATGACAATAGTGTGAAGGAACAGGTCACATTTTTCAGAGATACATCCTTAAGTATTAGAGGTAAAGTGTCAAGATATTTGGAAACTACTTTCAAGT